TCTCCTACTCCCCCCACCTTTCATGAGATAAGAGACCATAGGAATAATAAACTAAAGTGAATCAATATTCACTCATAACTTCTTGAGCACTATGTTTTGAACTTGGCACTCTAGTTGGGTTACCATTCTCAATATCTGTAAGACCCCCACAGTATAGGTAGCAGTAGAATCACCATGTTACAGATGAGGAAGCTGATTCATAGAAGTTCAGTAACTTGTCAAAGGTCACACAGTATTACTAAACAGTTGGGATTGAAACACAATAGTCTATCACCAAGGCCAAAGAGCTTAAACACTCTACCAGGCTTAGAGCCACTGACTGAGCCAAAATCCCTCTCCCACTTGGCTCTTCTTGTTGGCTGGAGAATAAGTTCCTCCTAGGGAAGGCTGTGAGCATGTTAATGAGAGTCTAGCATCAAAGGTGATGCTGCAGTGAAAGGTGGGTTCCTTACAGTATTACCTTTTCCTTTGGAGTTTAAACATGAAATTGAAGCCCCTTGGACACTGGGAAGGAGAATAAGTCATAGATGTGGTCTTTTCCCCTCTTGGGCCTGGCTTGAGCACAGGAGACAACCTCAGGGAAGCAGGCAGGTGAGAAATCTCAGTCACCCAGTGCTGATACAGCCAGGCCCCTGCTCCTTCCACGTAACTCCCATCTGACCTGAAGGGGACCAGGAGTATTCTCAGGGAGGAGCCATGACCTGATCTGGAACTACAGAGTGGGAAGGCTCTGCTCACAAATCCATCTAGAGACCAGGGAGCCTAGGCTCAATATTCTGAAACTCCCTGCAGAACCTCTGCAACTCTGTAACTCTCCACTCTAAAACTATACTTAAAATAACAACACATAAATGCAACAGAGTTTGTAATATGAGAAAGCAGGAAGGGGCAAAGAGAACCGGAGAGAGAAAAATCAAAAGCAGAGGGAGATGCAGGGCTGGAGAGATGGCTCCGTGGATAAAAACACTAGCTGCTTTGGGGACCTGCGTTCAAGTCTCGGGGTAGCTCAAACCAGCTCTAATTCCAGTTTCAGGAGTTCCAACTCTCCCTCTCCTGGCCTCCAGGCAGCTGGCAGGCCAGTAGTGCACAGACATATGGGCAGGCAAAACACTATACACATAAAATAAAAATAAAATTTAAAAGAAGAGTGGGAAGCAAATGCTGGTCATTCATTTAAAATCCTCAACAGCAGAGAAAAATGGGGTGCAGGTAAGAACTCCGACATGTACAAGGATGGGGGCCTATGGGAGAAGTAGCATCTACAAGAATTGGAGAGGAGGTTTGCTGGATGCACACTGAGACTGTAGTCCCTTCTCTCCTACACCCTTAGTTCTTTCCCTTGCCTTTGGTCCCCTCTCACCTGGTCAGCCAGATGCCAGGAGCTCCCCTGGCCGCCCTTGCTAGGTTTCAATGGTGGCTATGTAAAACAGGGGTTACTGTGAACCCCACCTGCTGCTCAGGCTGTGAAGAAGAAAGGGGGTATCTTACGTGCTGGAAAGTCCTGTGCAGGTGATACCTGCTCCTGGTTCCCACCATAAGAAGTCACTGCCTCCTGCACCCTTTGCCATGCCCTCCCCAGCATGGTGGAGAATAAAATCTCTCGGAAACCGTGAGACAAAATATACCTTCAATAGCTTCTGTTCGGTATTTTGTCATGGCAACAGAAGTAACTAGCCTGGCCTTCGCATGGCTCCGCTGTGAAGATTCCATGCATTCCACCTACTGTCACAACACAAGCCCGCACAAGACCCTCCAGCTCACAGGGCTGCCCTGGGTCCCGGAGGAGAGTGCACAGGTGACAGCATGAGACTTCTAAGGCCGAGATGGATAAGACATGGTGTTCCTGCCTCCATGTTCTTGAATCGCTTCCAGGAGGCCAGCATCACATGAGAAGGTCCAAGCACCCTTAGCAAGAGACCACAAAGCCATGGAGAGGCCTTTACCAACAGCCAGCTCCAGTGGCAGCCGCAAAAGAGAACCATGTCAAAGAGGTCCTTCAAACCCCATCAGGCCTTCCAAAGATTGCTGGTAGGCCTGGTGGTACAGGCTTGTCATCTTCCTACTCTATAAGCTGTGACAGGACTATGGTTAAGTTTAAGCCCAGCCTGGGCTACAGCAGAGTTCAAGGTCTGCCTAAGCAACTCTCTCTCAAAGAAAGGTAACAAAAGGCTAGAAATGTGGCTCAGCTCCTTGGTAACATGCTTGCCTGGCATGGTTGACGCCCTGAGTTCAGTCTATAAAATGAGTAGTACTGGTGGAAACCATGTTGACTGCCATGACATGCCTGGTTAGAGCTGGCCAGCCAAGCCCTTCTCCGACTCCAGACCTCAGAGTAAGTGCGTAACACAAACAGCTATTGTTGCTTTGATCTTCTAAATTTAAGGAGTTTTGCTACATTATATTGCTGTGTATCCATATCCTCACCCCACCCAAGCATGGGTCCCTACTACAAGAACATTCTAGAAGACACAATAAAGAACAAGCAAGAAAACTCCCCCCCCCCCCAAAGAAAAGAAGGGTAAAAACTGAAAAAAAAAAAAAAAAGACAAAAAACAAAGGAAAATCCCCACAGTGCTTTCAAGGAACCTTCTCCCACACTTCCTCTACTCAGTAACTGAAGCCACATGTCCCCAGTCACTCCGGCCAAAGACCTATGAGTCAGCCATTCTCTCTCACACCCAGCATCCCACCCACCAGCAAGGCTGTGGACCTTGAAATGCACCCCAAACGGGCCCCTTCCTTACCACCACCCCACGATCCTGAGTGCCACAGCAGCATCCAAGCCACTGGGTAGCCTTGGGTGATTGCCACTAGCAGCTTCTAGGCCCGTCCTTGCCCCGGTGCAACACGGCCTCTCACAGTGGCAGCCCAGTCTTGTAGCTAGTGCTCTAAACTCTCCAGCTTGGACGTGGCCTTCCTTCAAACTCGCCTCGCCTTGGGGACCATTGCATTTGCTCTTCCCCTCCTCCACAGCACCAGGGACATCTTCTGGGCCCCAGCTCACATAACACCTCCTCCAAGAACTCATGCCGGACTAATCCTGCCTAACCCTCTTATCTGCTGCCTTAGAGCCGTGTCCTGTACGTGGAGAGGTGCCAGCCAGTTGCAGGACATGGAGAAGAGAACCGCCAAACTGATCTAGCTACAAGCTCACAGCACAGAACGAGGCTTCCCAGCCAGAGGAAGAGGCAGGGCTGAAGTAGGAGCTGTGATTTGGGGAGAGTCTTGCCAGCTGCTTGGAACACACCCACCAGGAGATCCCACTTCCCAGAGAGGAAAATTCTATGAAAAGCTCCATCTGTGTGGAGGTGCCCTGCCCGACCTCTCCCTTTCTGGTTGGCCTCCTTGGCTGGGCAATGCAGGATTGCTGTAGCCTGGGGTACCTACACTGCCAGCACAGGTGAGAACTGTCAGGCAGGCTGCCACCCCTAAAAGTCATCGGTATCCCTCGGAAACAAGGGACCACTGTCTGTCACATCTTTCTGAGCCACCTATTCCCCACAACTAACTTTTCCCCGATAGTGAATTAATCATCTAATCCTCTTCACATGTCTCCTGCTGCTAGTGTGAGATGGAAAGCAAAAGAGAAACACAGATCAGGAAGGACAGGGACAGGGCCAATGGACAGGGAAGGACAACCAAGGGGCCACAAAAGGCTATGACAGAGGAACCATGCCCACACTGTTTGGTGCCTCAGTGTCTCCAACTGTAAAACAACACAATCTTCTGACCCGTGGGATTACAAGATTAAAATATGATAGTGTGTGCGCTGGATGTATTTTCTAAAGCTTAGGCCCATAGAGCACAAATGTTCAATTTTACTGAGCAACACTGATATAGGAAAGGGGTGAAAGGAAGGAGATGAGAGGAGCAAGCAATTTGGAAGTTCCTGGGGTTAAAGATATAGAACTCTGCTCCAGATGAGCTGAAGGAAGAGGACAATAAAGGGAGGAAAGGGGAACACACACCACACCCCCCAAAAGATAAAGCTGACCTAGCCAGATAAGATAGATAGCCCCTAATCCTACTGCAAGACGCAGGCCCTTTGCAACCCAGAGTTTACAGTCAGGGAAAAGCACCTCTTCCAGGGAATATTTGCAGCATCTTCAAGATCTCACAGGAGGGCAGACCCCCTCCCAGACCTGACATCCTATCAACAGCCCCTTCTCCTCCCAATCAGTCCCTGCTCCTCAATACGGGGTTTTTGTTTGTTTTGTTTTGTTTTGTTTTTGAGCATTCCTTGTGCATTAGCACTTAGCTGAGCACTCACGGGCCTTAAGTCACTTAACACTCAACAACACTTTTGGGAGGTGGGCTTCTCATCACCATATCCTAACATCATCCAGCTAACAAAGTCGGGGCGGGGGTGGGGGAGGGAGGGTATTAGGCACCCAGCACCTAGTTCTGGCTTCCTTCTCACCTGGGCTCCTGCCAGAGCATCAGGTTTACACGGCAATGGCAGGTGAACCAGCAAGGAAGGGACAGCCTGGAGCCGCTGGGGGAGAGTAGGGAGAGTTCTAGCAGGTCTTGAACCAGCAATGGAGCTGAGCCACCTGCCAGCGGTTTCCTTCCTGACTCATGACACCCCTACCTCCCCACACCCCATTATTCCACAAAGCTGACCCCCCACCCTCTGCCCAGACCTAAAAGGACGTCTCAACAATCAGGGACCAGCAAATCACTCCTATCTTCTTCTTCTTGCCTCAGTTTCCCTCTCCTGCATGACCCACCACTGAAGAAAAGCACGAAGAACAGGTAGCACCCTGTCAAACGACTCCACAGCCCCGCCCCCCACTCTCTGTCAAGCAGCGGACAAGGCAACCCCAGGCTGCTTGAGTAGGGCCGCAAGGGGCAGCGCATGGCAGGACCAGGACCCCCAGCGAGCGCCTCCCCGGCGTTGGCCTTCACCTTGACCAGAGCTCAGCGCTTTGCATAAACAAAGAGCAGAGATCCCTCCCCACCACCCCAGCCCGCCCCTACCCCGGCCGGCTGCCCCTTACCTTGGCCTGGCATTTCCGATGACAGGAGAAGCTGCAGACTGTGGGAGCGAGACAGAAAGAAAGTTTTAGCCGCGAGGTATGAAATGGAAACTCAGGCGCAATCTCCTCCCACCCCGGCCCTCCACGCCCGGCAGGGGGAGGGGGGACAAGAAGAGGGGAGGAGGGACTGTGGGGAGGAAGAACGGGGAGCCCGGGTGCGTACCCCGAGGGCGTCCGCTGGAGTCCCGCCAGGCCGAGGTGGTGGGGACCCAGGCCCAGTGCCAGCGGCACTGAGGAGCAAGGGGGCCTCTCTCCTCACACCCGACAGGAGGCGGGCCTGTCACACGTGCACTCCCCTAGGCCAGAGGCCCGGGCACACCCGCGGGCACACTCACAGCACTGGGGACCTCCCTCCCCCCGCACCCACACCCACCATGCTGGGAGCCTCACACACACACTCATGCTGCAGAGACCCTGGGATCTGTGGCACAAGACATGTGCGCGCACACAGAAAGTTCCTGCTTGTATGTGAGTACGTGTGTGTACACACACACACTCGGAGAACCTGCTCTCCCTCCCACCACCAGAAGCTGGAATCAAATTTCCTATCAGGTTCCAGAAGCCAGGAATCTCCCCTGTTCTGCTGCCCCACCCCCAGGGCACTTGGCACTCCTAGGAGGTTCCAGGAGCCCTTCCCAGGATTAGCTGAGGGCCTCTGACCTGGGTTCTGAGTCAGTTTGGGTCTCCTGGTCCTTAGGTCTGCTGGGGTAGGAGAGCCAGCCCACAGGGAAACAGGCAAGGGCACACCCTAAATCAATTCCTAGCTGCCCCTGCTACTCATCTGCCCTCCCTCACCCCTACCAGCTTCAGCCATCAGCTCTTAGCAGAGTCCTGCCTTAGGGACAGAGGTTCGGGAGCCTCTCCAAAGTCACAGAGGCTCTGGAGCTCCCCGCACCCAGCCAGGCCGGCAAGGTGGAGCCTGCGATGTCACCTTGGTCATTGGCACCCTGTCCTGGCCCAGCTCAGGCCCTGTGACTCAACACGGGCTGAACAGGGCTGTCCTGACCCTGGCAGCCCACAGAGTAGCTCTAGGCCATGCATGGCCTGTAGCCACATACGCCCCGCTGTGTCATCCCCATCAAGCTAAACTTCGCCTTTTTCTGATTCCCTGAGTCTATTCCCACCCTAGGTGACAGCACCCCTCCTCACACCAGCGCCCTCCCCACATCACCCTCACCCCTTCCTTGGGACAAGGACCTTAGGACTGAGAAAACCTCAGTTCAATCAGCCTGAGCCTGGGAGCCCCCTTCCCCTCTGGCCATAGACTACACATGGTTTCTGCACCCCACCCCACCCCTGTCCCTGGTACATAGTAAGGGTTTATCTCTTTTTTATTTTTTTGTAAGATGTATTTATTTATTGTATATACAATGTTCTGTCTGCATGTACACCTGCACACCAGAAGAGGGCACCAGATCTCATTACAGATGGTTGTGAGCTAATATGTGGTTGCTGGGAATTGAACTCATGATCTCTGGAAGAGCAGCCAGTGCTCTTAACCTCTGACCCATCGCTCCAGCACCCAGTAATAAGCACCCACTGAGTTGGACCTAGCTGAAAATCTCTCCATGACTCCATGCCCTCCTATCATTTAATCATCTCCCACGCTCAGCCTTTCCCTGCACTATTAGCCTCCGCCACATCTCATATTCAACGAACAGGATCTTGAGTCCACTGGGCCTGCCAATCTGGACACTAGGGGCATAGTCAGGGGACCAGGGCTCTCTTCCTCCAGTGTCTTCCACATTTCTGACATTCTCAGGATGCAACAAGCTCTCTCCTCCCTAGGGACCTTTGTACATGCTGTTCTGGCAGCCTGGAACTCTCCCTCTCTCTCACCCTCAGCCCTTTGTGAGTCCAATCTTTCTTAGCTGGTGGAATCCACTCAAGGCTGTCTCCTCACAAAGGCCCTTCTGGGTTGCCCATGGTCTATTGCACCTCTTCAGTCTTTCTCATACCAGAGTTGTCTCCTTACCTGACCAGTTCACAATCTGAAACCACTCTAGGTAGTTTATGGCTGAGCTATCTGTCTGCATCAAACTCCTGAGCTCAGGGAGTTTGCCCATCTCACTCAACCTGATTCATTTGCAGCTAGGACAATGCCTGCTTCAGGTGGACCATACAGTGTCTTTGTACAATTCAAACAAGGCCCAGGCAGATCTGCCTGTCGTCCAGAACCAAGAATGTCTTGGTGAGCACAGCCTGGGATGATTCCAGCACTCACTTTGGTAGGTGCCCTTAGCGGTACCCTGCTGTAGGGCCATAGGAGTTTCTCAGTGGACAGACACTCAGCAAGTGGCCTCAAGTAGAGACCTGCAGGCAATTAATTGCAAATGGCAGCCCAGCACTCCCTGAATATGACTGTCCCTATTCCACCTCAGAGGCTGAAGCTCAGCACACGGGGCCGGGTCCCCAAGTGTGATGCTCCACTTCAGAGCACCTGTTCCCAGTCCCATTGAATCCTTCGTCCTCCAGGGGAGCCTCCTTCACATTCTTGACCACCAGTCTCTGGTCTTCTCCAGGGACAGTGGTCCTGTTCACTAAATCGACTCTCTCCTTCTGTCGCTCAGAGCTTGACCAGAACATGTTGCTGTCCTCTCCAAGACAAGAAAACATTCAGGATGGTACAGAAAGGAAGTGAGGCAGCCAACTCCAAGGAGGATTCATGCCCTACACACACACACACACACACACACACACACACATACACACACACACACACTATACCCATAGGTCTGGTTTGGGAAATCTTTTTTTATTAATTATATTTTGTATATCAGTATCTTATCCAAATATATTTCTGTGCATCATGTATATCCCTAGAGCATGCAGAGGCAAGAAGAGGGAGTCAGATCCCCTGGAAGTAGAGTTAGAAATAGTTAGGAGCTCTTATGTGGGTGCTGAGAATTGAACCTAGGTTCTCTGAAAAAGCAACCAGGCCTCTTAACTGCTGAGCCATCTCCCCAGCCCTGGTTTGGGTAATCCTGCTCTCCACCTACCCCCTACCCCCTACCCCCGGGATCATGCCCAGCTTGTATTTTAAATGCTTAGTCATCAGCACAAGGTGCTTATGGGGAAAGACTGGAGCTGTGAGAGCTGGGCCTCAAGCTGGTTAATTTCCATTGACAACTTAATTTGATTTTTGAAGTGCCAGAGGTCATTCAAGCACACCTCTTGGGTAGGTGGGGAAACCAGTTACCCTGCCTTGAGAATACTCTAGCAGCCAGCTCCTCACCACAGACCCCACTAGGCCAAGCTGCCATCCTAACTTACTGTTTAGGGACCCCAAACTAGGAGCATCCCACACTATCATTCCTGCCCCACATGCTGTGGGGGAACCCCTCTTAAACCGTTAGGTTTGGCAGCCATATTCACACAGCAGTAGATAAACAGTATAGAAACCAAAGCACTGGGTTCCTCAGAATGTACAAAGCAAGGCCAGCACTGACTGACAAAGGGATGGAAATCACAGGTCCTTTGTGGACCTTACTGTTTCCACCCCTTTCCATTCATCTCTAACTCCTTCCCTTTGATCATCATGTTCGAGAAAATAATTCCAAAGAGGCTGAGGAACCCCAGCCTTCTTCCTCAGATCCCCCCATGCGCCAGTTCCCTAGGCTGGCTCTCACCGCCAGCCTTACTCCCATCAATATGCAGGCCATAGCCAAGTACACAGAGATTACACCATAATCCTACTCAGAACCAACTCCTCTCCACAGCCTCATCTAGCTTCTAAGCCCCAGTAAATACCCCCAAAGGGTCTGTTCCTGCCTACCAACCTCCCCAAGTGGACCTTTGAATCTGTAAGGAACAGGTCTGGAATAGTGAACTCACATGTCTCCTTCAAGGCCTAGTTCCAAAGGTCCTTCCCTGGATAATCTTTCATTCAGAGATGGTCCACCTCCTTCCCTTACAGAATCACTACACGTACACACCCACACCTACACCCATCACACACACACACACACACACACACACACACACACACACACACACTTGCTTCACTGCACCAAAAGGAGGGGTTCTATTCAATTGCAGCCTTGTGTACACCACTAACATAGAGAGGCTCAGTAAACGCGTGCAAACTTCCAACTAAGACTGTCCCCAGCTAAAGCCCTTGGGACAGGGCTAGTATTTGGGAGCACACAGAGTAGGCCCAGTGGGTGGGGCGTACTGTGCCTTTTCCTATTTGTAAATGCTTGTGATACCATTTAATTAATAATTTAGACACAGTAAGAACGTAACGACCATAGAACATAGCAATACACAGTTACAAAAACCAGCTCATACTAAGGAATTGTTTCTGGAACTTTTGCTCATATTTTTGGACCAAAGCTCGCCACAGGGAACTGAAACCTTGGAAAGCAATGCAGTGAATAAATAGGACTCCTGTATGTTCAGACACTGTGGTCAACAGCATCTTTATCACCTTGGTCCCTAGTTATTATAAGGAATGCCTGTGTTCCTATCCTAACCACTTTCATTTTGCTATGTGACCGTTGAGCAAATAACTATTCTCTCTGGTCACAGACTCTTGCTCTTTCTTACAGGCAGCCTGCAAGATCCACAGGCCTGCATCCTCATAATTAGATGGCTCAATGTTTTGTTTTGTTTTTGAGACAGGATTTCTTTGTGTAGCTCTAGCTGTCCTGGAACTCACTCTGTACACCAAGCTGGCCTTGAACTCAGAGATCTGCCCGCCTCTGTCTCCTGAGTGCTGAGATTAGAGGTGTACCACTGCCCCTGCTTGATGGCTCAGTGTTTACAAAGGCCACAGAGCTTTCCTTAGAATGCACCAGCTGTCACCAGAGTCTCCCCACCCCGTACCCAGGGTGACATACTCATGCCTCTGCCTTACTCCTGGGCTTAGGAGACCAAATCACATGGGCCCCAGCCCTGTCCAGCTCTGACAGTCTGTATTGTCCATGCTGGTCTGTCCCCACGCTGATTTGAACATGTCCCTGCTGGATTCCTATGCTAGAACCCAAGTCTGTTGTGA